TCCCCATCTTTGCCTCCATCTCTGGTTGTCAATGTTTCTCTGGATACGGTCCCACATTCTGCTTGTGTTCTTCTCCCTTGATGGTCCTAGGGTCCTGTTTCTGGACTGTATGATTAACTACTCCCTTGTTGTCACAAAATTTCTACCTTTACAGCTGTAACCATCGCACTTAGTCATGATAACAATTGCTCACTATTGACTCATGAGAACCTTATCCCCATCTCTTTTCACCAGACCCATCTAGACAAGATGAACACTATTCAGTGGAGACTCTACCTTCCTCCTGCACACTTAAACTTGACTGCACACGTAAGCCAGTCACTTCATGCCTTTATCGCTCCCTCATTTTAGGTAGCCAATGTCTAAGTTGCCTGTCCCTATCCACCCTGTATACAGAGAGGATAGGATTGATAATTGATGTGAAACTCTTTCCCTCTTAGTTGGTAGTTTGAGCTACTATATCCGTAAAGTATAAGTCAAGTTCATCAAATTGTAGCAATTTATCCTCATTTCCTTTATTAAAAATTGCATTTTTAAAAATCTTCCTCTAGTCACGGCTAGGTCAAATGGGTACTATCTGCAAGTTTGAGCATTCTTGTGCATCTCCCTTCACTTTCTATCAGCTGGATGCTTCACTCTCAGCTCAAGCCCTTCATGGCTATGTCCTTGTCCATGGTTCAGGAGTCCCCAGGTCTCATCACACTTTGGACCAACAAACCCTTTCAATTCTCTCTCGCATTGCCAGGTCAGTAGGAGTATATGGAACATGGTTGAACTCAGCCCATTTCTTTATTGCTGCCTTTCCCCCTCTTCCACTCACCAGTAGACCAATGTGGTCACCAGCAAGCTTACATGCCTGCTCATGTGTTCCCTTTGAGTTTCAGTCTTGAAGGAGGGTTGTCCTGAAGGAACTTTATTGCTTGCCTTGATGGCTTGTAGTAGCCAATCATACTGCCTTTTTTGTTTTGGATTTTTCCTGATCTTTCTTTGAAGATATATCTTCTGTTGCTCTAGCTGTGCCCGACTGGTCTGCTTGTCTTTTCTAGTGGGAATGCCCCACCTCAGAAGGTTCTGGATGGGGCTCAGGATTCCACCTAAGGTTCTACACACTGCAAAGGCTCTGCAAGAAGCCTACTTCGCTGGGCAAGTTCTAGAACCCCTTTTAGGTATTCCAATCAGTTATAGGCTGAGATGTTGTCCTTCCCTCTTGAGACAGAAATAGTTATGCCTAGAGGGAATAGGAATGGTGACTTTTACCATGCCTTCTCAACATTCATCCTATACTGTTTAAGGTAATCTTCAACCTCAATATTTTTTCCTTCTGTTGGTCTATCAATATTTGATAATTGTCTTAAAGAAAAAGAAAAGAGATCTTCAGATTGTAATCATTTCAAGATCTTATGGCTTCTGTTGAACAGAGAAACAAGAATTTACTTTACAGAAGACATGATAAAATGTTAAGGAAATAATTACAAAACAAAGGTAAAAAGATTATGGTTGTAAATTTTAGTATTTATTGAAAGGTGGGAGACAAGGAAAATTCCTCTCAAATGCCAAAAACAAAATCTTGCACCTTTGTTAAATGTAAAAGAATTTTAAGGTATTTGCTTTACATGATGATGAACTTGTCCCAAAAATAACTGAATAATATAAATTTACTAAAAACAGTCCTTATTATTTACAAAAATCATCTTACCTTTCATAACTATTTGAGGAAAAAAACGGTTTTATACTCAGGAACACTAATAAAATACCTTGAAGACTTAATAACTAAAGACAAAATCTTTTCGAACCTCCACAGCATCCCAAATGTTACAGAGTGGGTTAAAAGTGAATGCATGTGGAAACAAACATAATATTTCCAACAAATAAACTTACACACATGCACACACATGCACGCACACACACAGTGTTGTGCTAGATCAACCTAATCTTTATTTAAGGCCAACACAGCCTTAGTGACGAGAGAGAATGAATATGGCTTTAGTAGAGTTTTCAACTAAATATCACAAATGCTTAATTCATTTGCTAGTTAGCCAGCTAACCTGAGTATGGCATATATATTAATTAGATAGCTAAAATGGTATGAACAAAAGTAATTAGAAAGTAATTAAATAAAAAAAGCACTGTAGCAGATACCACTAAGATATCCTAGTTCTTTCCAAGGGTCTATATATGAACTTAATAATTTACAGGACAATTAATTTTTCTAAATAGTATATAACATGTCAGAAACTGTATCTTAAGTACTTTATTATTCTGGTCCAAAAATTTTCAAACAAAAGCAAAAAATTTTCTGTGTTCAGATAAAGAACTGGAATGTACTAACTAAGAAACCATTAACATTATGCAATATTAAAATAGAAATTATTTGTATGTAACAAAGGTAGTCAATAGGTTCTCAGATTATATAGAAGAGGATTTTAAAAATAGAACCCGTAAAACAAGGAAAATAAGCATTATCCAAGGTGATACCAAGGTTGTATCTTGAAATATGAGCCCATGGTTTATAGCTGACCTTCCCAGAGGTGTATGCTTTTTACAAAACAAAGTCTCAAATTATGGAGAAGTTTAGCTATTAGATTATATATAAAACTATACATAAAAGAAACCACAATGGTTGTTTTAGATATGCTTTCCTTTAAGTTTAAGGCTCATATATTTTGGAGGGGTACCTTAAGACATTACAATATGATCTCATGCATGTAATATATTCTGTTGGGAACTAAAAATAAAAAATAACCTAAATATGTCACCCTTCAATTAAAGAAAAACATTTTAACCACATTTTCTAATTCTCATTACAGATTTGCTATAAACTTTTGTCTCCCAATAAGTGCATATCTATAAATTTAATTAATAAAATATTTAAGAGGTAGGGATGATAAGACAATGACATATAACAGAAAATAAAACCCTTATTTACATTATCATGATTTATACACCTTGCTTGTCCTATGAAATTTCCTATGTTGAAATGGTTTTGATATCCTACAAAGCATCCAGACTTCCTACGGTAATTGCTTACCCTTTTATTAAGCTGGAGGCTAGAACTGCCATCATTGCTGCAGTTCAATTTTTTTTTTCCTGGTGTAAAACCTTTTTCTAAGTGATTTCTCCATAACGAGAAAGATGAATAATTTTGATGGGTACCATAAATCGGGCTTAGCAGAGACCAAGGAAATAGAAATCACAACATTATCCCAAAACAGCAAATAACCCCAGATGAGAGTCATTAACCAAAAGTATGTGTCCAGAATAACATCAAAACACAAAACAAAATGGATTTGCAATGGAGTTTCTTGCATTAAAGTATGTATCAAAGACATTTGTTTGACTTTTAATTACAGTAGTGAAGGAAGTCTGAATTAATGCTAAAGCTCAATATTATAGACATTTATTAACTTTTATTGTGAAGTGCCGTCAAGTCCATTCCGACCCATAGTGACCCTGGCATAGGGTTTCCAAGGAGCGGCTGGTGAGATTGAACTACCGATTTTGCAGTTCAAACAAGATAGGCACTAGCAATTCTGTTTCCTACCTTAACTTTATAGTCTAGACATTTTTTGAAAAGGAAGTACTCCCAAGTTGTTTGCCTTGGTAGGTTAGAGAGAGAGATCCTGAGAAAGATAAGGTACCAAATCTTATTTTGTAACTTTTATCTCTATATATGGCAGTTGTGTTGTTGACCTTATTTGATAAATTTTCCTCCCAAATGTACAAGAGGATTTTAATCATTCCCAACTAAACTTTTTACTGAAAGATTTTTACTCCACTAAAATTAAGTACAATACAGGTACTGACCAGTAAGAAAATCTGTCCACTTTTTATCATTCTATTCACTACAAAGAAAAATTACTTTAGGGCTATGTGATATGGCCACACACTTCATTAATTAGAATTGTTAGATATCAGTAACAGATTTTGTTTCTCCTAACTTCTAAAATTGTTTCTATTACCTAAACTTTCTTAATGTTTCATGTATTTTAAAATGTATTCCAGGAAGTAGTACTAAGAAATTTCACATATTCATCTTATTCAGTTAACTTGAGATTATGCAAAATATGATATACATATATACATTCCCATACATCGCCAAACACATACACACACACACACACACACACACA